GGCGGAGGGCTTCTCGGTGGAGGCGGTGTGGGGGCGCACGGACGAGGAGGCCCGGCAGCTCTCCCAGGAGCTGGGGATCCCCTTCCACACCAGCCGCACGGACGACGTGCTGCTGCACCCCGACGTGGACCTGGTCTGCATCAACATCCCGCCGCCGCTGACCCGCCAGATCGCCGTCAAGGCGCTGGGTAAGACGCCGAGCCTCGCCGAGCCCCTCTGTGCCCCGCTGCTGCCTGCCAGAACAGCCCAGTGCAGGTCCTCTGTTATCAGCCACTGAGATTCGGAAAGGAAACGTCCGTCCATCCATTTCCAAACCACTTCTTCCAAAATAATGTTAATAATAATAATAATAATGTTTCTTTATTAGCCCTATACAATTTCTTGCATTAGGAATTCATCTTATCACATACCCCAGCTTTTCTCCATGGAGACACAGACAGGGAGAGAAGCTTGGGGTCAGAGCGCAGGGTCGGCCATTGTATGGCGCCCCTGGAGCAGTTAGGGTGAAGGGCCTTGCTCAGGGGCCCAACGGAGTAGGATTCCTCTGCCGGCCGCAGGATTTGAACCGGCAACCTTCCAGTCACAGGCGCAGATCCTTAGCCACAGAGCCACCGCTCCGCCCAAATCAGGGTCACGGGGGGGAATGGAGCCTATCCCAGCAAGCAACAGGCGCAAGGCAGGGTTCACCCTAGACAGGACACGAACCCATCACCAGGCCAAATAACGTACGGACACCAAGGCCGCTTTTACCTAGGATCCAATTAACCTTTTGCCTTTGGACTGTGGGAGGAAACCCACACAAACGTGGGGAGAACATACAGACTCCACACAGACAGCACCCTAGGTCTGGGATTGAGCCCAGGGTCCCAGGCCTGCGAGGCAGCAATGCCACTGGGTCGCCCCTATACAGGAACTGGTAAAGGTTAATTTCACGCTGAATGGTAGAAAGAAGAGGACTCAACAGCTGACGCGTCATTGCTGCTTCTTTCTGCTTTTCAGCCTGGAATCAGCCTTGGCTTATTCCTTTATAGCCCCAGCTCCCCCCTCCAAAGAAAGTTACAGTTCTGTTTCGCCTCATGGGACCTCAGATGCTGCTCAGAAGCCTTCAGCTCTGCCTTACAGTCGAGCAGTGCTGTAGCATGACGGGTGAGCAGAGCCAAAGACAGGACCTTTCTTTCTCTTGACTTGCTGCTCCCAGCTTGGAGGTCTGGCAGACCTAGGAGCCCATCTAGAAACCAAGCCAGCGATTAGTCACAACTGAGAGATTCAAGTTTGTCTTCAGCTTTTTTTTTAAAAGTCTTTTCGAAATCCCGCTAAAAGACTTTGGAACTTGGGCTGCAGTTCTAACATCGCAAAGCTATTGGTCACAAAGGACGGCTTATAGTGCTCGCGACTCTAATCTCCCCTAAGGTCTGTCATGTGCTGATGCCCTCAGCAGGAAGAGTTCCTTGTTTGTTCTGAAGTTACGCAAATGAGTCCACTGCCTTTCCCTGCCTTGACAACAGAGCCTTTATTATGACTGGTGTCCGTTAATCGGATTCTTTAGCCTCACAATGGAGCTCTTATCTAAATAATACAGGGTGCTCATCTTACCAGTTAACCCAAAGCGATACAGAGGAACTGTAATCAGACTTGTGAACCTGTTTCGCTGTGATGATTGTTTTCACTTTTGGACTTTGCTACGATTTCCTGGTTACTATACCACAGAGGGGGGTGTGGATCAGAATGGATTCTATTTGCATGTTGTTGGGTTAACTGGTAAAATAAGTACATTGCACAGATGAATTATGATTGATCATATATTGATTACGTGCAGTGATGCCATTTGCAGTTACAGTGGGAGCACTCTCTTTGGGTTTTGCATGGATTTGTTCTTTTTGGTAGGATTATTTTTGCTATAAACAAATGCCTTGGCTTAGATCTTCACATCTCCTCTGGGGAATATAAATGGAAGCTTTTGCCTATTTAATCTTCCCTGCCACTTGGTTTCAGTGCTGAATTTGTTTAGATCCTAGTTCCTGTTTATGGCTGTAATAAACAGTCATAGTCTGATGACCGTGTGAAGCAATGTAATTTGTGCATCATTCATAGCTGCACAGTTATGAAATCCTTAAAAAATCTGCTCATTCTATTTTTCCTTTCTGATTCTGAAAATTGTATATATATCTGCCCTTATTTTCCTCACAAATTCCTGCCTGATTACCCTTCCTTCCTGATCTGGGCGGGTTAACTTCCTCGGCCGTTTTGTGTCTGAAATCGTCCATATAAAAGTCAATCTAGACAAAAAATTCATTTGTTTAGACCTTCTGGGTTTGTCAAACGCACAGTCGGACTTTTCAAGCCCACATTCGGCTTCTGTAAGAGAACATCCTTGTGGGTGTTTGTCTTTTGACTTTTTTTTTTTTCCCCGGATAATGGGGTCGTGGCGTTTTTTGAAATAATTCGCCAGTCAGCTGTCTGCTGGTAAAAGCACAAATCCCATCTCGCATGCTGTAGGGATTTTGCTGTTAAAATTCAGGCGATGCTTTGAGAGGTAGATGGAACTGGAGGTGCCCGGAAATCCCAGGGTAGAAGCTGCCACTGCCGAATCTGGAAAAGGGCCGAACTGGGCGAATCCCAGCAGGACGGAGACTGGAGAACGAGTCGGCTCTGCAGCGCTGGCAGCAGACGAGTGTGCGCTGGGGTTATGGGTGAGGGTGAGCGGGAGAGTGAAGTGAGCTGGGGCGAGGACAGCGGGCCTGTGCGTCTCGGCAGCTCTCCCTGGTCCCCCCCCCCAGCACCCCGCGCTGCAGGAAGAGAGCAGGGAGACGGGCCGGGCCAGCAGTGTCCGTTTCCTGCGCCGGGCCGCTCGGGGAGAGGCCTCGGCCCGGGCTGGGAGGAGCTGTGGTGACCCTGATAGGGAGAAGCCTGATAGCCTTTCTTTGTTTTGTTTTTTTTTCCTTCTCTTCCTTTTTAGGCGCTGCCTTCTTTTTACCAATTCCTCCTCTTTTTGCTTTAACCTTCCAGTCCTGGAGTTTTTTTGTTTGCAGTGGCTTTGTTTTGGTGAATCTGGCTTGAACGGGCCCAAATATATCGGTCTTTGAACCCGCGGTGCCTCATTTAAAATGGGCACAGGGGCTGGTGGCTTTGACTGTCTTTTAATTCTGAAGGGGGCTGATTAAACTTTAAATACTCACTTGCAAAAAACTCCCTGAGAACAACGGATTAACACAAACACAGCCCCGAGGCACTAAAGGCACTGTTGATCAAATATGCTGATTGGACTGACTGATACTATCTACTTTATTGTCCACATACAGTGGGAATTTTCCTCTGGCCTCACTGAGACAGCAATAAAAACAATGTAAAGTACGTAAAACACCCAGTGGATTTCACAAGATGTGTTCACTCACTGGAATACAGCACAGTGTATTTTTGTTTTAAAATGACGCAGTTGATCTTTTTCGTGAGTGCCGTGTTAAAGTATGCAGGAGAAGTACGTAACAGGTCTCCGCCTATAAGGAAACCCATGAAAGCCTCCGACCCTGCAGAGCCTCCAGTTCCTAATACGAGGAAGGTGTGCTGTAACCCTGAAGGGCTCGTCATCGGCCCAGTCCAGACCCGGAATCCGCTGAGGGAGGCGTTTCATTATTCCGGGAATTAGGGAGTTAGAACGCGCCTCTGGGCTTTCTGGCTGGAACCTGACCAGGCAGGTTGGTTCCCACTCTCCTGGATTCAGGAGGTTTGCTTGAGGAGGGGAGTCTGGGGGCCAGGCTGGGAATTTTAAACAGGGCGGCAGACCGTTTAACTACCTGCCTGTGTTCAGCGGCTCAGTGTCGCCACTCCTCACTTTTCCCCCACACCTGTACCGTGGGCACATCATGTCCATCCTTTAGCGAGTGAGTCAGGCTCAAAGTGTGTGAACAGGTTAGTCTTCCTGGCGGTCATGTGGTCCTGGCGGGAGGCTGGCGTGATGCTAGCTCACCCAGCCTGTTGGAAATGAGCAGGGCTCACCCACAATGCACTGTGTCCCTGCTGAGGGCTGCACCGTAGGGAGTCGGTCGTTTTCCTTTGTCTTGGGGCGGGGGGGACGCTAGAGCGAAAACCGTCGGTGACATGCAGTTGGCTCGTTGCTTTTTAATTTCCTGTCTTGTCGCCTCGTGACTAATGAGGCTGCCCGCTGCCAGTGCAGTAAAAGAGCACTCCCATGAAGGAGCGCTGTTGGGGGGGGGATGCGAGGAGGTTGAGGGTGAGTGAAGGGAGGCCGTAGGAAATGAGGAAGACAAACAGGAAAGCAGAGCTGTTCAGCGAGGGTAAATTACCCACAGGAGGCCGACCCCCTCCTCCTGCAGGGGGCTGTGTTCCTCAGGACAGACGCAGGAGCCCTGTGGCTCTGGGGGGTTTTCCTGTCCCAGCATCCTTCCCGAGCCCCTTCTCTCACACACACACACACGCTCTCATGCTCTCATGCTCTCACGCGCGCCTTATCAGGAGCGCAGCTGTAGGGGACTTCTGCCAGTCTCTCTGACAAGAGCCCTCTGTCTGCTAGGAGACCAGGCAGTGCTGTATCGCAGAGCTGCAGAGCTCACTCTGAGCGGCCACAGCTTTCTGGGTCGCAAGCTCTGTACCTCTGAGCCATCGACACACCCTCACCCGCACTCGGCGATATTGAATTGTGCCCAAGCGCTAACTCCAGACTGCCTTCCTGATGGATTCCAAGACAGGGCTCAAGCCTTGTGTAGCGAAGAGGCTCAGATGCCCTTAATTGCTCAGGGATGTTCAAGCGCTTTTTTGACTGAGAAGCTTGGTAGCCTATCATAAACCTGAATTTAGCATACAGCGGTGTCCTCTTCACCTATGTGGCAGAGGGACGTACCAAAAGGTGCAGTGACAGTGGGCCGCCACTAGAGTCCGCCAAACTCTGAGCTAAAAAAACTTTTAAATGCATTGCTCTGTGATTGAATAAGCGAATTATATGTTTCTTTTATCACGAGATTGTATAAGAGCATGTTGTTTGGTCCACCAGATGTCAGTTGACTATGGAGAAAGCTGTGTTAATGATTTCTCTCTCTCAGCCTGCAGTCACAGCTGTGTGTCAAGTTAAGGGACTTTGTCAAAGGACTGTGCAGTAAGGCATAGCCAGGATTCCCACAGAATCTCTTCTGAAGGGAAATTTAAACCAAGAGCAGAAGGCACTTCTTTTTACAAAGGGCCGTGGGAGTGTGTAACAAAACATCCAGCCGTGTTGTTGGGGCCGATACCCTGGAAATAGCTGGATGGGAATGACGGAATGCTTAGCTAATAAAACCCAGCCTCTTCCAGTTAGCAAAGTTTAATCCAACTCCCTTTCAGGAGAAAAGGGTAAAAACGGAAACTGATAGCATGCATGTATTGACTGGAAAAACGAGCATGTCCTCACACAAAACGTACTGGGAGTCTGAAATGAGCTGCCAAGCCCTCCCGAAGAAGCAGATTCTCTGGGAATCCTGAAGAGATCGTCTGATCAGCAACCACGATGGATTGAAACTTAAAAAAAAAAAGTGTCAGGAAGTTTTCTCTTGAGTGTGCTTGAGCGGATGGTTGTGAATCTCCGCAGCTGCTTTAATCGCACAGGTTATTCTCCTGCTTTCCCAGGCCCTCGTGTCATTTGCAGTGCAGGACTTTGGCGCCCCTATCCTCCTAATAGTGTAATTGAATACATTCATGAATTAGAGAAGACTGTCATTGGGCTTTGATACTTCACAGGATT